AGCCCAAGGTCAGCCATGGTCCTGTGACTTTAGAATGTTCTCCTTTGTTTATGATGGAGAGGTCAATCTCAATGAGAACCTCCCTCCCCCTATCTCCTATGGCCTCCTCCCATCTGGCCATAACCACCTTTGTGATCTGATCACATCCCTGTTTGCTCCTTCCTGCTGCTGTTTGGCTGTGCTTTGCTCCCCAGTGGTTTGTGTGCTGGAAGCTGGGTCCCCAATGTGTTGGTATTGAAGTGGTGGAAGTTGATTAGGAAAGTGATTGGATCATGAGGACGCAGTCCCTAGAGGGAATTAATGTAGTTTTGTGGGACCCCAGTTAGTTTCTACAAAAGTGAGTTCTACAAAGAACTTTAAGGGATAGGTTAGGGATGGTCAAGTTATTAAAGATCTGAATTTACATCTCATTTTAAAGGAAATAGTTTTTATCCAAGTATAGAATAAACAATAGCACAATTGAAAGCGATTCAGTTCAGTAAGCCTGGCTCCTGAATCTCTCCAGCTTTGTGTCTCAGCATGTGAACTCTTCTGCTCCTGTGCCTACCTCCATGTCACCATGTTGCAATGAAGCCAGGGGTCAGGAGGGGGGAGGGGGGAGGGGGGCGGTCCTCCCCAGAAGCCCAATTAGTGGTGTTGTCAAATCTGGGACTTGTAGTCTACAAAAATGTGACCTGAATAAACCTCTTTAAAATAAAGCACCCAGCCTCAGATAGTTTGTTATAGCCATAGGAAACTAATTGAACAGAGATTCATTTGTTCGCTCTGTCATTTTAGCCTTCTTGTCGGGCCTTTGAAAATTATAATCTCATTGTTACCTCAGGACTCTTGCTCATGGCTCCTTTGATGTCTGGAAGCTGATTTTTATCTATCTTCTTATTGTTCACTCCCTGACTGCATCCTGTTGTTTTTTTTTTTCTTTAATGAGTTCCTTCTTGAGCATCCTTTTCCAAACAATTTACTGCATTTGTACTTATCCTTTGCTAGCTTTACTTTTCTTCCTAATGGTTAAAATCACTTGGAATTACATTCATATACTTGACTTTCTGATCATTTTCTCTCTACTGGAATGTAATCCATAGGCATAAAGACTTTATCCTAGTTTTGGCTATATTTTTAGCATGGATACTCAAAAGTTTATTGAGTGGAAGATTAAATGAATTGCAGATTTACTAGGAGGTATATACCTAAAAATGAGCCTTAACTTCAGTTTTCATTTTTTGAAAGTTGTAGCAAAAATTTATTTTAGTATAACAGTTAAAGTAGAGAGAAGTAGAAAAACAAAGAAAAACATCTCCTGTTCCCTTCACAAGAAGTTTTCACCTGTAGCTTTTATGTTGTGAGGTAAGCAAATACATGCAATCATATCATCTAGCAACTCTTAATACTTAAACAATCCCTCCACCCTCAAAACACAGGTAACTTTTAAGATTTCCTTTTGCCAGGTCATGCCTTTCTAGCTACTAATCCTGCTTTTCTACTCATTCATGAAGAGGTCCAGATCATCACCATTTCAAAGAAAGCAGATTTAGATAGCCCCTACCATATCTGCTAGCCTTGTAACATATGTTAGTATTTATATTCTCTATATTGTTTATTACTTGAATAAGATAGTGTTTCTTTCAAAAGGAAATATAATTCAGATTTTTGATAGCCTAACATTCCTTAACTTACTCTTTAGTATACTTCTCACAAACCCACTGATAGTACAGTAAGTTAGTGAGGTTTTGTTCTTCATTCAAGACAGGAAATTGTTAATATTAATAGAATCTGATGATCAATATACTTCCATGGTAAGAAAGGCATCAGCACAGAGTTGGTGTTCTGTGTTCTACTTTGAAAGGTTCTGTTTTAGTAGCAAAAGCTACCCATTTGTTTACAAGTCTACCAATTCTTGTAAAAGTCATCTTTAGTTAAATCTTAACTCAGTAGCTCAGAATTATCATCAAGATAAAGTCAGGAGTCAGGTGCTAGTGGCTCTTACCTGTAATCCTAGCTACTCAGGAGGCTGGGATCTGAAGATTTAGGGTCAGTCTGGGCATGAAAGTCTGTGAAACTTTTTTTCCTCCTTGTCAGTTAGGGGCCTGAACTCAGGGCCTGGGCACTGTCCCTGAGCCACAGTGCCATTTCCAGTTTTCTGGTAGTTAATTGGAGATAAGAGTCTCATGGACTTTCCTGCCCAGGCTGGCTTTGAACCATGATCCTCAGATCTCAGCCCTCTGAATAGCTAGGATTACAGGTATAAGGCACTGGAGAAGGGCTCATGGGACTCTTCTCCAATTTAACACCAAAAGAAGCCAGAAGTGGAGCTGTGGCTCAAGTGGTAGAGTGCTATCCTTGAGAACAAAAGCTCAGGTGTTACACTCAGGCACAAAAACAAACAAGAAAACCTACCTTACCTTAGAAGTTGTTGCTTTTAGAGAGAAGTTGGCATGTTCTGGCAAAGTAGAATATTTATAGGTGCTAATGCTGTGATTTTCAAACTTAAGAGTGGTTTAGGTTTACCTGGAAGCTAAAATCCCTAGCTAACTAAACAAAAAACAATCTATCAGCCCCATGTCAACACCCCTCCTCTACTGTCAATGTGAGCGCCCACAAATCTTGACTGTTATTAGTTTTTGATCATTCAACAGGGGTGCTACCTGTCACCAGCAGTGAGCACTGTTGTTTTCAGCCCTAGATGCAGTATGCAACTCTATTTTGTCTGGGATGGAGCTGTGCGGGTGGACTAGGGAATGCTTTCCCTGCTACTCTTAGCCCAGACAGGGAAGATGTTACGTTTTTGCCTACTTTCTCATCTCCAGTTTTCAGGGGGCCTTTAACCTTTTCCTGTGTCCACAATTCAGCTGTCAGTTAATTTGGAATAATGAAGCTGGTGTGTTGGAAATAAAATTGAGGAGAGGAGGGACAAGCCCCTGGCTCCCAGCAATCCATTTTTGGTAAACAATTGTCTAGCCTGAAGGGAAATTTTGCTGGGTGAATGTGGAAAGTTACTAAAAAAAAAAAAAAATCTTTCCGTGCCTCAGTTTCCTCATCTGCAAAATGTTAACGGTATTAATACTGACCCACAAAACCTGATGTGAGGATTAAATATGTAAAGCATTTGAAGAGTGCCTGACACACATAGGTAGTTATTGTACACAAAGGCAGTTATTATGATCATAATTTATCCATGTCTAGTTCTTGAATTTATTAACAGGTGAGGAAGAGTTCTACACAAAGGAAGCAAATAACAAAAGAATTCTGACTGGTTGTCTTGCAATTAGTTTTGAGAAATATATTGAGCTATGGAATCTTCATTGGTATATATGTATAGCTTCTGTACCCTACAGCAGTGTTTAATTTAGGTCATCTATTTAAGAGGTACAAATTTTGAAAATATCCCTTTCTGGGCTGTACAACCACCCTTGTATATATAAGACTATTGAGAAATGATAGAAATGCGTGGGAGCCACTGCATAGCAGGGAAGAAACAAGTGCTTCTCTAATTGACTAGTTAATTCAGCACATTAATGAATGAATGCAGCAAACATTTAATAATAAACTCAGTGCCAGATGTTGTGCTAGGAAATAGAGATACCACAGGGAGAAGGTGCTATGCATGCCCTCATGAAGCTCACAGTCCACTGAGTTTGGAGATGAGGGCTTTATCTAATTTAATTGACAAAGCAGAGCTGTGAAGGCTGATTTGGTTCTCCTAACTTCAATGTTTGGGAGTTTCCCATTGCACTTTAAAGGCTTGTAGATCCACCATAATAGATGAGGACGCAAGGGATGGTTTGGATTCATTTTTCTTCTCAAGGGCCTGACTGAAGGCTAACTGGTTAAGCACTTTATTTATTCATTCAGTGCAAATAAGCTTATTGCCTGGCACACACACAAAATGAAACAGCACATTTTAAAAAATTAAAATGCAACAGAAATTGATGAGGTCATTTTAGTACCATTAGGTAGTTAAAAATTCCTTCATACCTGCCCAAGCCAGGATAGCCTAATTGCCCTGCATAGTCAGAAGAAACTTTCCTTTTCATCCCCTGGCAGTTCAAACTTTTCATCTCCGCAGGGACTTGTCTGAACTGACTAAATGTCAAATTCACATAGTGTTTTCTTCTTTTTTTTTTTATTTTTGGAAGTTTCTTATTGAAGACTTAAAAGGGTGTTTTTGTTTTGCTTTGCTTTAAAGTTTTACTAAATCCTTGAAAACTTCTGGATGGCTTAAAATTATTTTTCCATTTAGCTTTTTGTTTTGTTTTTGCTTGTTTGTTTGCCAGTCCTAGGGCTTGGACTTAGGGGCCTGGGTACTATCTTTTAACTTTTTTGCTCAAGGCTGTGATTCTACCAGTTGAGCCACAGCTCTATTTCTTCCTTTTTGGTAGCTAATTGGAAATGATTGTCAGGACTAGTTTTCAGTCTCACTCCTCAGTTCTCAGCCTCCTGAGTAGTTTAGGACTATAGGCATGAGCAAGCAGTGCTTCATTTAGGATTTTTTGTTGTTGTTGTTGCTGCTGATGTTCTGTTTGTTTTTTTCAGTCATGAGGCTTGAACTCAGGGCCTGTGCACTTAGCTTTTTTTGCTCAAGGCTAGTGCTCTACCAAATTGAGCCACAGTACCACTTCCAGTTTTCTGGTGGTTGATTGGAGATAAGAGTTACATAGACTTTCCTGCCTGGGCTGGCTTTGAACCATGGTCTCAGATCTCAGCCTCCTGAGTAGCTAGGATTACAGGCATGAGCCACCAGTGCCTAACTCTATTCAGTTTTTAAAAAACTCTAAAATCTACTTTATAATCTGAGAAGTATTAATATTTTGAGTTTTAATTCACAATAGCCTGATATGCCAGACATTATTCCACATCTTTTTTTTAGGTTTTTCTGTTATGTAAAACTTATGAAAATGTGGCCTAAGTGAGCTGAGTACTTAGCATAGCATCACTGACTTTTCTTTAAAACAACACTTTATTTATATCAATATATATTTGTATTTGTATTATTTGTTTTATAGGTTCTAATTTATTCTTAAAAGTATGGTGTAGTGAAGGGTCTGAAAATGGATGCCAATGTGCCCTTGTATAGACCCTTTTCATTGGCTAGCATCCGGCACACAGCTTGCTTCCACAAAATAGGATGTGGCAGAAGTGTAGAGTCGGTTGTCTGACTAGAGATTGGCAGAGTTTGTTAGTTAGAGGCTTGGGCAGGTATGCAGGAAATTTCACTACCCTGTCATGGAGACGTTTGTGAAGAGGCATGGAGAGCTGGCAGGGTGCAGTTGGCACCATATCCTGATCGGGCTTTCAAAGGACTACAGATCTAGTCACTATCTGATTTCAACTACATGACAGATGTGCAGAGACTAGCAGAAGAGCCACTTTGCTGGCCCAACCACACACAGAATGGTGAGGAAGAAAATGATGGTTGTTTCAGCCCTTCAGTGTGGAGGCGGTTCTACAGCCAAGGTGAGCAGCGGGTGTGATACCCACTGTGATCCCCATAGTTTACCAGAGTGAATCACTTTGAGATTCATATGCTAACTTGAAGGAGTTTAGTTTTCACCAGAAAACCTAGCTTTCAATACCCTCACTATTTGGGGAGAGTGAGTGGCATTCTTATTCTTGGTCAAAAAACTCATCATAAAGTAGGATTTTCTCGGTCCTAGTTCTCACAAGAGCGCGTGGTTTTGTCTCATCTTTCTCCAGCTCATCTGAGTCTGAGCTCCAACTGTCCCAGAGGCGCTGTCTCCCAGCCTCTTTTTCATGGAGCCATGTTTCCATTTTGCCATTTTGTTGGTGATAATACTCATTTCTTGCTTGATAGTCCAAAAGTTCTGTATCATGAGAATTTCCTATGAAAGATGAGAAGGTCTTTTAATTTGATTTTTTCTAACAATGATTGTTTTATTACATGCCTAGATTTTTATGAACACAGAAGAATCTGCTTGATATTTTTATATATTCCAGCTAAACGTTTTTCAGTTGTTACTTTTACAAAGTGGAATACCCTGAATATCACAAGACTAGTAGAATATATATCTATATCCCCAACCCATCCACAATGTTTTGCCACAATGTTGCTTTCAGATGAACCACTCAAAAATTAATTGCAGGTACTCCTAAATACATTGCTATAATCTTTCAAGAATGAAGACTTTTTTTCTTACATAATTACAATACAACCTTACATTTAGGAAATACAACACTGGTAGAATATATGCTCATAGAGGATCCATATTCAAATATCTATGATTATTCCAGCAATACTTTTTATGACTACTTCTTGTTTGCTTGCAGTTGATCTTTTAGGTCCTGGGTCCAATCTTGAATTATCTATTGCATCTTTTCCTTTTTGTATCTCTTCAAAGCTATGTATGCATGTACATACATATATGTAAGCATGCAGGTATGTGTCTAATGTGCTGGTTAATTAGAGATGAGTCTCTCAAACTGTTCTGCTCAGGCTGGCTTCAAACCTCAATCTTCCAGGTCTCATTCTCTGAGTAGCTAGGATTACAGATGTTAGCCACCAGTGCCCAGCATTATATTTTTCATTAGAGGATACCTGTTTGTTTTTTGCTGTGGAATTTGATTTACTTTAGCTTTTTATTTAAGAAGTGCCCACCATCCTTTTAGAGTCTACAGAACAATGAGTGTGTTACTGCAGACCATTCCCTCTGAAGGGTCTTAAATAAATGCAATCTCATTTTAGTGAGAAGAATTAAAATTGCCCTCTCTCATGCTAGCAAAATCTTCCCTTTCTAAGCTCATTTTGTCATGTGTATTCATGCACAGAGTTATTAAAAAGAAAAGGTTTCTCATAAAGTTTGGGTGTTGAGAACTTTCAAAGGTTATTAAGTTCATCTATGTTGGATTAATCCTCAAAATCACTCAGAAAAATTTTCAACTGTAAGATAACACCTCCTCCCACCAATCCCCAGAGATTCTGATTCAGGAAGATGAAGTTGGGACTGGTTCCCCAATGAGTTGCTGTTTATGACCTGTTTGTACCTGTTGACATAGCCATACCTCCCTGTCTCCAGCAGGACTTGACTCCTGAATGAGCTACTCTTTCTGCCCCCTTGACCCCCTGAGAGATCAAAGGCAAAGGATTATGTAGGCCAATGTCTGAAAGCTGCTTCCACATCCATCCAGAACTTCCAGAGTATAGATTTTTCGTAAAGGATCAAGAGCCATTTAAAGGTGAAGAGTCACTGCTTTTCAGATCTGTAGGCTTTCCTAAGGTGGTGGGCCTAGAGCCTCGAGTCATCCGCATCCTGATGAAGCTGTAAGTGAGTAGATAAAAACAATTCTGGTCTTGAATCCTGCCTCTGTCACAGAGGTGATGGTAACTCCTACCTTCCATGCTGCATAGGAGTTGAGGGGACCACAGTACTGGCTTATAATGAGCACTCAACAAACCATAGCTGGATTGTTAGGAAGGCTCAGGAGAGCAAAAGAAAACTCCCGTCTCCACATGCCATAGTCTCTCCTGGGCCACTCCAAACCTGGGGTATCTGCCAAATCCTTTGCCAGTATTGGTCTTCTAGGCATGCTGTCACGTGATGACTGTCAGTGCCTAACTTTTGCAGAGGCCCTTTCCTTGGTGGTTTTGACAGTATTTTTTCAATTATGAAAGTTGTTTGTATTTATGACTACAAAATAGATCTCATTCTGAGACTTGAAAGCGTTGGGTGAAATGGATATCCTGAGTAGATTTTCAATTATTCAGCCTTTTCTTATTTAATCACCTTATTGATTAAGCATCTTGTTCTCTGAGCAGAGACAAAATCTATTTTAGCAGGTGATTTTGCACTTAGAACTTAAGACCTCCAGAGACACAGCCAGCATTTCTGCAGCGTTCCAAGTGATCAGTACTGCTGATATGAAGATTTGGTCTACAGCACAGCAATTGTGTGAGTGTGAACAATATGAATCATTTGCAATCTCGGGGAAATATGGACAGGAAGAACTTAAGGGGCTCTCTAATGGATGGGGCAGTGCAATAGAGAGTTATGAAAACAGATAGATGGCCGCTGGACAGCACAGAGCAACCCAAGGCTGAGTTTGCCATTGGGTGTATGAAAGGCTGGAAGCCAGAGATGGAGATAGGAAGATAGGCAGCAGCAGGCTCCTAAAAGGCCTAGGTCCATATTAAGGAGTTTAGCTTTTGTTTTCAGGTCAATGGGGACTACCCGAATGAGACTGTTTTTTCCCTCTTCTGAACTTGAACTCAAGGCCTGGGTGCTGTCCCTGAGCCTCTTTGTACTCAAGGTTAGTGCTCTACCACTTGAGCCACAGCACTACTTCTGGCTTTTTCTGATTAGTTTATTGGAGATAAGAGTCTCACGGACTTTCCTGCTGATCCTCAGCTTTCAGCCCCGTGAGTAGTTAGGATTACAAACATGAGCCTCCATTGCCTGGCTGTTGTTTGTTTGTATTTAGGAAGGATAGTGACATGAGCAGAGTTGCATTTTACCATTGGTACAGTGCTTCTAGAATGTCCATATGGGTGAGAATCACTTGGGGATCTTGATAAATGATCCTGATTCAGAAGGTGTGGGTGGAACTTGAAATTTGTTCTTGCATTTGTACTCCCAGGTGATAACAATACTGCCAGACATTGGGAATACTGGAATATTTTGATCAGCCAGAAGAGTAGAGAAATATTCCTAGTTCCTTGTTTCTTAAGGTGTTTTTTGTTTTGTTTTTTTGCCAGTCCTGGGGCTTGAACTCAGGGCCTGGACACTGTCCCTGAGCTTCTTTTGCTCGAGGCTAGCACTCTACCACTTGAGCCACAGCTCCTCTTTTGGCTTTTTCTATTTATGTGATACTGAGGAATGGAACCCAAGGCTTCATGCATGCTAGGCAAGCGCTCCACCACTAGGCCACATTTCCAACCCCTGTTTCTTAAGTTCTGGGGCTATTAGGACCCTCCTGGAAGGCTGATTAAATCCAGCTTGCTGGTCCTCATCCAGAAATTTCCATTTCAGTCACCCTGACTGAAGCTGAGTGTGTCCCCAGCTGGCTGGCCTGAAGCCACATTGAGAACCGCTGAAGTGAATGTCGAAGGGGCAGTAGGTAAGACTTGAAGTGGAGAACCTGGTCAGGTGGCCCTGGAGTGACAGGCTGAGGACCAGATCCAAGGTTTGCCCAAGGCAAAACCATTGGGAAAGAAGGAGATGGCAGATTCCAGCACTAGAGAACATTAACAGTCCTGTGTGCTACTACTCTTCCATAATAATAGAGATGTTAATGGTCTTAACACTTACCTGGCAAGGAGAGGGAGAGAAGGGATGAAGAGGGCTCTGGCTTGAGTAACTTGGCATGGGGGGGGGCACCCACTGAGACAATGGAGGAGCAGCGTTGGGAGGGCCGTGGTGTTGGATTCATTTTCAGTGTTCTAAATGTGCCCCTGAGTGCTGACACTCAGGGGCTGTGTGACCAGGCACGTGCATAGGACCCCAAACCAGCACATGCAATTCCAACACATGCCACAGCAAGTTAATGTGTCCCCATGAGCTTCATTCTCTAGAAAATGAAGCTACTTTTTTTCTCCTCCTGGGAACAGGACAAGGATTCCCATAACGCATATAAGGTATGTTGAAGGCATAAAAGAAGAGAGAGAAAATATCTTATTACAGAGCTTCCGTCTTGTCCTCCCAGGATCCAAAATTATGTGACAACATTCTCACTGCATTCTGAGAGGTAAAATACCAGCAAAACACAGAGATTGTTTTCTGTCTTCTCACTTTCTTCACTAGACGCACAGCCTGGGAGTTTACTTGAAGTCTGGAAAACATTTGAAATCCTCTCTTCTACAAAAATATGATTTACCTGAACGTCTGTTCATGGTTTCATCAGGCAATATGGTTAGAACATCATAGTCTCCATTCTTTGGAATGCTTTCAAGTGTTTTCTTGGCTTTATGATTTCTCTGTTTTTGCTTATTATTCTTTGCTTCCCTGGGAAGATTTTTCTTCAGTTCCACCTGGGCCTAAAAATGATCAGCCATAAGTATTTAATGTTCTCACTAACTCCCTTTGCTAGAACACATCAGGCCATCCACCACTTGGCAACTTGTAGCCTGTCCATAGACACCT